ACTCCCCAGACAAACTTGTGATGCAGGGGAGGGGATGGTTAGGCTGCGTCATCTTCATCCATATCTGTCCCTGTTTTCAGATAAGTAACCACTCAGCAGTTGGTTCATACATGTTGGATGGACGGACGGATGGTGGAATGAATGGACGCTAAGTGCACATTTTAGTGGTTTTCTTTGATAACTACCATGAGTATAAAACAGATGTAACCTTTAATTTCTTAAGCTCAGAAAGCTGTGCCACTCAGACCTATACATTTAAACTGTGACTTATCTTCAGAATAGAGCTTGTTCTAATTAACGTGCATTAAAAATATAACCCAGAAGTCTATACCTTTCTAAAGATGCCTCAGGATAATTCTGTTAGGTCTGCCTTTGAGGAGGCTGTGTAGGATTTTAAAAACTTAATGTCTTTACTATTTACTGAAGTCCTGCTGTGGGCAAAATACTGGAAACACTGGCTTAGGTGCTGAAAGGGGTAGGGAGGTGACCCAGTACCACCTTGCTGTCCACAGGAGTCACCACAGTGTCATAGGCGTGGTGCTGACATCTAGCAAGTTTCGAGAAAAGTCTATTCCTGGTGACATTTCCCATCCTCTGAGGATGCAAAAGTAGGAAAATGCTTTCAAACCGTACTTGCGGCTGGACACCTTTTGGAACTGATGCTTTAACTCCTCTGACCCTTCTTAAAACTATCTTTTTCTTCAGTATTTGAAAGACCTGTGATCTGTGAAATTCCAAGTGACTTGTGGGATTGCACGCCTTGAGATCAATTCCACAGAGACTGCAGCAGGAAACCACACGCAGCACGGGTTTTAAGGACTTTGGTCCTTGCGCCTCCCAGGGTCATGATGAAGCTGAGCTGTCGAGCGCTCTGGGCTCCCCAGACATTGAGACGCCCTCCCAAGAAAATCAGACCAAGGTGGCCGCCCAAGCTCTGTGTCAGCAGGTGCACCCCAGAAAGCTTGCTCATGATCCAGAGTGACGTGGGGGGGGGGCAAGGGCTGGTTCTCAAAGAC